CAAAATATTGAGATTGGTTGCCTGGAATGGTTTTTGTTCATATTTTTGAATTTCTTTATTTCATGGCATTCAATTATTTTAAATAATTTATGAGCTTTAACACATATGATATTTGCAAAATGATGTATAAAAATATATCTAATCTTTAAATTGTGATTAATATTGCAAGAAATCAAAAATTTTGACAAAAATGAAAAATTGAAAATTTAGTCCGAATTTCCTCTGCATTACCATTCATTGACTTTTGTTCCCGTACATTTTCTTCAAATAATTAAATATGAAATTTTTAAATTGATATTGAGTTAAAACTTTGTTATTTTAAACATTTAGAACAAATTTTGATTTAACATATTAAACTTTAGAAAATTTCCTGTCTGTTTTCTGAAACCTGAGTAAACGTCATCCTTAAGAACAAATTTATTTCTTCATATAACTTTTTAATTAACATTATATCGAAAATTATTTTAAACCTTTTAAAAGAAAAGTGGTAAGAATTTTTTAAGGACCCTCTCTACACATTTTTGGACATTGAGCAAAATATATTGTATAAAGGGATTATTATTGAGCTTATTTATTTAATTTCTAATGTATGATGCGTGGCATTTACCCCCCGGGAAAAATGATCAAAGGCAACACTGTATCAGAGAATAGAAATCACTGTTTATGACTTCAATACAGAAAATACATACATAAATTACACATTCAGTTAACTTGTCTTAGCCTTTTAAAATGTTAAGAATACTTGAATTGATATCAATTCAAATTAAGTAATATATTGTAAATTTCTATTTTTTAGAATTTAGATCTAAGGGCAGATTACTCTAACTGTAGAAAAATACCTTAGAATCAGAACTCTTTAGTTTGCAGTGTAGAAAGGGTTCTTAAACAATCATTTTCATAGAGAATTATTAATTTTGAAAAATTTTACAACAATCTGAAATTTTTGGTCTTAGTCGTACAAATGTAAGTTCTTTCGTAAAACGGGCCCCTGAAGCAGCCCCCAGACCCCTCGCCCAGATTGATTTCCAGCTAAATTTAATTCCTTCTACTGACATCTTATATGACACACTACGGGGGTTGTCCAAAAAGTTCGTGGACAATGACATTTTTGTTATTAAAAATAAATGATTCTGTATATATCTATAATTGTGCATGCATATCAAAATATTTCTTATGAAAAAGTAAGCCAGAATGATTAAGTGTTTATTGATGGAACTTAACTTTTGTAAAATAAATTGGGTCTTTACAGGTCGCAGATAGTGCGCACAGACAAGTTTAACGTTAATTTTAATTATAATGTCAACATTTGATTTTAAATTTTAACACATGTTCATGGACATACTCTACATTTTTTTATTATGGCGACACACTTCCTACTGCTGTCAATAATCTTTAAGTATAAATTATAATTTAATTTTCAAAATTCAAAATACCCTGTAATTCACAAAAAATTACGTGCGCCATCACCATACATGTAAACAGTTTGTATACACAAACTGCACGGCCCTGTCTGACATAATCTGCGTTCCTTAAAGACTCCAATTTTTATAAAAATATTAAATTTCATTAATCATGTTAATAAAATTTGAATTATACTGACTTGGTTTTTCATGAGAAATATTTTGATATGCAATAGATTTACATAGAACCATTTATTTCAACAAATACGCCACTGTCCATGAACTTTTTGGACAACCCAACTATGTATACTGTACTGATGTAATTTAAATCTCATGGATAATACTGTACTTCCATTTTATACCTTTTCCTTTATAAAATTTCAAACTCTTTAGACAAGTCAAATCCTACATTGTCAATGGGTTGATTTGTTTAGATATGTATACATATGGGTTAGGACTGGTGTTGAATTCTGATAGAAAATCAAAACATATTTTTTATGTAAACTGATACTCATAAATGATCATGACATTTTTTATTCACAAGTGGTCAAATGAAAAACAAGGTCTGAAACGATTAATATCTGTCACTAAGCTCTCCAATTTATTTGCAGTGTAGAAAGGGTTCTTAAACAATCATTTTCATAGAGAATTATTAATTTTGAAAAATTTTACAACAATCTGAAATTTTTGGTCTTAGTCGTACAAATGTAAGTTCTTTCGTAAAACGGGCCCCTGAAGCACTTTTTAAGATCCTTCTTTTTATTTCTATAAATTATAAATAATGTAACGATTTCACTGGAGTGTTCAACTGATTGTCGAAGTGTGTAGTTTTTTTTAAAAATTAAGCTTCTTAATTGCGTGGGATGGTACCAGTTTTCGCTATATTTGATTTTCGGAATTTTGTATTGCATTTCTGACAATTTTAAAATAATTTCATATCTAACATTTATTATTAATTGTGAATTTTTGGACTATATTTCCAGCAATTTCATGGTAACAAAATAGATGGAAATAAAAGTTTTCTTGGATATGGTGAAAGGCAGAGAATTTATACATGTACAATGTATCAACGAGGGATGAAATATGAAGGAATTAAGTGATCAGTATTCAAGTTAAGATCAGGAGAAATGCAAGCATGGATCTTTCAAATCAGAGGTGGAATCAGGTGCTATGGGTCCTTTAAATGTCAGCACCTACCCCAACATTAGACCTTGATTATTTTTCTCTAAAAATTCTGATCATTTTAAAAACACTTAAGTTCCATCAAAAAATTTGAATCATACTGACTTGGTTTTTCGTGAGAAATATTTTGACCTAGTTTAGAATGTGGATGGCTTTGGCTCAAGTTTTTTTCCTGACCGTAGCTCCAAACGGAAGACCTATTCAACGGGTTCGGCTCTAGTTTTCAATTTTTCTATTAGTATTATTTTTTTTTTTTTACTTTTATAGGCCAGGCCAATATTTTACAAAAACTCTTTCTTAGACTTCATAGCACCTTGGATGATATGAAGATGCAAAAAATGAAAATTGCTACATAAAAAAATTTCGATATCAAGCTTCTTCAGCACAGATCAGTTCATTTTGTGATTTTTTTTAAATCAAATAATAATTTTCAAGAGTTATCCTTCCTGGCTGAGGATAATTAACAATTTTACAGTTTTAACTAATTTTGTTTAGGTGCTGTGGGCAGAATCAACACAAAATAACATAAGGTGATGCACGTCTAATTTACAAAGTTCTAATCTACAAGAATAAACATGATCAAGATAATATTCTACTTCCTTGGTCAATTGTTCGTAGGTTATGTACATCAATCGTAAACAAACCAAAATACGGTTATATCCTTATTTTGATCATTAACTACTTTGAAAATGTGACTCCCAAAATAATGCTACCTTCTAATTCTACAAAGATTCGATGAATCTTGTCAGACACTTGTTCGATTCCTATTTCGCATCTCCACCGTCCACGTCTGCGATTGATTTTAGATTCAACTTTCGGAAGCTCCCTGCTACACATTCGCGCATGCGCATTGAGACTTTCGCTTTCACCTTGGATCATTTCGCACGCAGAATTGTGTTGGATATTTTCGTTGTGGTAAGTTACTTTTTAATCGAATTTTAATTTTATGTCTTAAGTAGGTCATAAACATAACGGGTTAGCCTTTTTTGTTTTCCTTGCGCAAAATGCTTATGACAATGGATGTTATACAGTTATTTTAAGATGATATAGAATAGAATAGAATATCATTTATTTCCAATTTTGGGCCCATGAAGGGCATTCAAGAAAAATACAACATAATGATGATAAATAAAATATAAAACTAAAGAGAGGAAGAGATCCAAATGATAGTTGAATTCATATACAACAATGTTATTGTTAGACACTGTTAGTTAGTAATTTGAAGGAAAAAAATAGTTTAATAGCTATTAGCTATCGAAACAGTGATGAACAGGTCCAGCACAATCTCTTGATTAAGCTATATAGCTTTAAAAAGCTATATAGCTTTATTAAGCTATTCAAAATAGCTTGATAAAGCTATTTATATGCAGTTTTTCACAAAAAAGTTTTATTGAAAGAAATAAACAAAAAGTTGCAAGTATTTGACGATTCATATATCATGTATATGTACTATGGACGGGTACTACTAAACAGAGTACGATAGAGTACGATAGAGTACGATAGAGTACGCTAATAAAAAAATAGAATTTAATGCAATAACTTGAGTTATTTATTCATATCTTATATTAAGAAATGAAAATATAAAATAAAATTATAAAATTTTTCTCAAATATTTGTGTTAAAGTTGATTTTTCTCCACAAAACATAGAAATTCGATTTTCGTATCCCGATCCCGACTATTATTTTGCCTTCCCGAAACTTATTAACTAGTTTCATTTCAGGTTAATGTTTTCTTTAAATTCATTTTATATTTAAAAAAATATATATATATTTATTTTCATAATTATGTGTTTATTTGAGCGTATCTTCACTACCTTTAATCCAAATATATTACTGGAATTAATGAGAAAATAAATAAAATAAATAAACTTTATTGTAGAACTCTTAGCCATTCACATTATTCAGGTGAATGTTACCAGATCCTACGACATGGACGTGGTTCTACATCAGGATCCATATATGATATATTTTTATTATTCATGCTATGCATCTATTGTTTTTGGTTTTTTATTCTTTTCTTTCTTGTTTTCTCTCTATCTCTCTCTTTTGTTGATTTCTTTGTCGTTTTTCTTTTATGTTTCATTTCTTATTTAGTAAAAAAAAAAAAAATTGTAGAACTCTTAGCCATTCATATGAATGTTTCCAGATCCTACGACGTGGACGTGGTTCTACATCAGGACCCATTTATGTTTTCATTGTTATTTTTTTTTTGTATTATGTTTTTTTCTTTTCTTTTCTTTTCTTTTTTTTTCTTTTCTTTTTTTTTTTTTTGTTTTTGTTTTTGTTTTATTTTAATTTTCTTTTTCTTTTTTTTTTTTTTTTTTTTTTTTTTTTTGTTTTTTTTTTTTGTTTTTTTTTTATTTTGAGGATTGATCAAAATTTATTTATTTTTTTTGTTTTGTTATATTTCTTGTTTGTTACTGATTTTTTTTTTAACAGACGTATATATACAGGTATTTGTTTTCTACTTCTTCTTCCTTTTTCTTCCTTATTTCTCATTTAAGAAGTTTTTGTCTTCTTTGTCAAGGTGGTAGACTTGCACGCTTTAGCTCTTTTTCTTTGTCCAGGCTTTTTTGCAATAGTTGCTACCTTAGGTATGGTGAGACTTCCGTCTTTGGATGTTACGGAAGATGCTGGTATGATGAAATTCAGTAGTCTTTGAAGTCTTCTTTGTCTCTGCTCTGGCGTCAAATTTACCCAAACTTCATTAGACACGAGCAGAATATCGGCTGGCCCTCTAACTCTAAGATCACCCCTTGAGTGCAATGAATCTCGTATGTTTGATGTCTGATTGCTGTCCAGGTCTTGGAGTACATCTATAAGCGCAGGAAGTTTCAGAATCCTCCAGTCGGTTTGTAATTTTATCACATTGTTGTAAGATTCGTTATTGTTGTTGGTCCATAACTTTGGGATGGTAAAATTTGTTTTTTTCCTTGATTCGAAGACTTCTTTTGAAACTTTACACAGAAAAGAATTCAGGTAAGGTAGGTCATGTTTTTCTTTGATTTCGTTCTCCATTTCTTTATAAACCAAGTCCGATTCAACGGTGAGGAGTCCCGTGGATCTATTAAATATCGAGTCAATAATTTCCTGAACGTCTGGATTAGTCAAATGGTTTTTTAAATGGTGCCGCAAATTTTCTTTCAAATGTCTTGTACAGAGAGTATGAGTTGATGCTGGAAAGCAAGATTCAATAGCGTTTGTCAGTGCCTTTTCTCCATCTGTTCCGAAAATGATTTTTGATTGGTCTACGTCATGCAGCTGCCCTTGTAAATGGGATAAAAACCGCTGATACGTGTGGTATGTACCATCCCAATGCAGGTAAATGGGACCAAGCATTATGGGTGGTTCGCTGGTTTCATTCCTCACGAGGTTTGTGTTTTTGAACGTTGTCACTGTTAAGTAACAGGAACCCACGTTGAATGTTCTGTCAATTCCAATAATGCACCCATTCTTTATGGAACTACGCATGGAAGTCATCTGCTCCTCTGAATACAAAATGACATTCGGTGGTTTATTGTTTGCTGAAGTCAAAACTTCTTTAACAAATGAAGCATCTTCATATTTTTTATTTAGAACTGTAATGACTTCATCGGCCAGATTCTGTTTATTTTGAGGATGTTTCTTCTTTTCATAACTGTACTTGGCATTCCTGGCTGTTTTCAATGTAATTGGATCGTCTGGAATGTTCTTTCTAACCTCATTTTTTATTTCTCTTGGCGGCTGATTCTTTTCTAAGCTTGACTGAATAAGCTCTTGTTGTTGCAAAGTAAGTCTTTGATAAGGAACGTTATTTTTAGAGTTCCCATGGATGCTAGGACTGTCTTCAGGGTAAGGGCCAAGATATTCTACAAATGCTGCTTCCAGGAAGGGATGGTTATCAAACCATGTTACTCTTTTTCTGTATTTCTGTTCCCTGGCAAGTGTGGAATATTTCCTCTTAACCAAAAGAATTTGTTCGTCTGTTGGTTGAGGTGAAAGTGGCACCTTATTTCCTTTTAGCCTTCTAAAATACATCCCTGATTTCTCGCGCCTAACATTTTGAAAACCAAGTTGGGTCTTGAGAAAGTACTCTGGCTTTGTTATATTTTTTCCCTGCATCCAAGCACCGCAGTCGTCAGGATAAGATGAGCTTTTGCCTTCGGCCCTTCTTCTTGCATTGTAAGCATCATTCAATACAAAAAATACATTTTCTTTTACGCCTTTTGGAATCTCTGTATGGTTGGTTGTTGTACCCTGGTTTTGCAAAATTTCAATCTGTTGCTCCATCGACAGAAATTTTCCCGATAAAGAATTTGTATCTGGATTTTTATAAGGCTGGTAAACATCCTCCAAATTTGTAACATTCATTTGGGAATCATCTGCAGGTGCCTGATCGATATCTGATTCGTCAACAGTGCCAACATCTGAGTGTTCATTTTCATCCATTTGGGAGTCGTCTGCAGGTGCCATCTCGATCTCTGAGTCTTCAACAGTGACAACATCTGCGTGACTATTTTTTGTTACGGTTTCTTTACATCGTTTAGGCCCAGAAGAAGCTGAAACTGGATTAAGAGGGGGGAACTCTTCCATGCTGTCAATGTCAATAACATTTGTTCGGATACTATGAGACTCCAACATAGGAACAAAATGATTGGGGAGCCATATCCCAGTTGCACAGGCTGGTCCACTCCACATAATGTTGATAGGTTGTCTTGAACTTTTTACTCTCGGTTGGAATGTTCTGTTAAGGATACCTATGCAGTTATCCATAGGTCCGTTCACAACAGGATATACGGACTTAACAGGCTTCCTTATTACTGAGCATGCCGCGTGCAGAGACCAAGCAGTTGAAAAAGAGCGATTGACAGCACACTCAATGATTGCCTTGTCAATAGTTTCAGCACAGTCTTCAAGATTGGTTGTTTTGTGTTGTTCTACGTAGTACTTTTTGTTTTGAATCAGCTCAATGGATGAACGAAGGCGAAGTTCCGTAGCATACTCTTCATGACCCGATATAGCAACTGATATAGCGTTAAACAGACAGTTTCCATCTCCTCTAACTTCAACCGGAACAAGGCCATCCCAATTTATTCCCAACAAGGAGGCAGCATATTCATCTCTACTTAAGGCCCAATCTATAAATTCGACAGCGTTGTAATCCTCGTACTGGAACTGTGGTTGCTTTCGCAGAAAAATCGACTCCAATCTCGCAGAATCTCTAAGCTTTTTCGCATCATTTCGGAACGTAGCCAACCTTTTCAGGGATGACTCAAAATCAAAGCTACCGTCTTGATTTAAATTACATCGGCTACAACTGTATGGAAGGTCGATGCTAGTCAAAAACTTGAAGTCAGAGGAGCGTAGACCTTCACAAGAAATGTGAAACCAAGTGTTACATTTTTCACATGCAATACATGTGTTGCCCTCTGACTCTTCACCACAAATACCGCATGGATATTCAATAGCTGATGTGGCTGGGACCCTCTGGGTGGCTGGGTACGTCTGGTTTGGTGGAACCCTCTGAGTGGCTGGGGACGTCTGGTTTGGTGGGACCCTCTGAGTGGCTGGGGACGTCTGGTTTGGTGGAACCCTCTGAGTGGCTGGGGACGTCTGGTTTGGTGGGACCCTCTGAGTGGCTGGGGACGTCTGGTTTTGTGGAACCCTCTGAGTGGCTGGGGACGTCTGGTTTGGTGGGACCCTCTGAGTGGCTGGGGACGTCTGGTTTGGTTGGCTATGGACCCTCTGGGTGGCTGGAGACGTCTGGTTTGGTTGGCTATGGACCCTCTGGGTGGACCTCTGGTTCACTCGAGTCTTTGTAAATCTGAAAAATAAAGTAAACTTTATTAGTTTTCATAGTTAAAAAAAATAATTCAAAATTAAAATTATTTAAGTGTCCGTGTGAAGATTCTCCATTCAATATGAGTGGGTATAGATAGGAGAAAAACTCTATACCACCCGTACATTTCAAATCCTAAACACTATCTTTAACATAACCTATACATAAGTAATCATAAAAATGTGATCTGTCTTTGGTAAGTACACATTTCATGATTCCCTATCAGAGTCATCTACCACCCATGAACCAAGCTGGGCTGTGTTGCATGGGGCCCTAAGAAGTTAGGCCATTCCGGGGTAGTACACTCACCTACGTTTATAAGCAAATATAATACATGTATTCATCTAAGATAAGGGCCTAACACTAACACATAAACTGCATTCATGTAAAGTGATCTGTCTTTGGTTGTACACATTACACGATGCCCTAATCAAAATCATCTTCCTTACTAGGATGATCTGTCTCAGGTTGTACATCCTTTGGATCAAGATGACATCCCAAACCCCGGGAGAAAATAAATTTATGCTAAAAAAAATTGCTAATAAAAAGACATACAATATTCTTCACACGGTAAATCAATATATAAATAAGAAATCTGTACCATTTCGCCACCAGTGTTTTATTGAAATTTGTTTAATACCATTTTCAAATGTATTTAAGGGCAGATGTTATAAACAAAAAATGGATGCTTGGATTGGTATATATTTTTTGGCCTTATTTCATTGTGAATATATGCAATATATGGCGTATTTACAATGTTCTCCGTGTTCAGAATTGTATGAAAAGTTTTAATTGAAATGTATTAACTATATTTCGTTACTTAATTTTGTATTTTTCAAAAATATTTTTTTTTTTGATCAGTTACGCCATATATGGCTATCTTATTCATCCTTATTTTTTTTTCTTATTGGTTACGAATATGGCAGTCTCATTCTCATTCAATAAAATTATAAATCGTAAACCAAATATGTTCAGCGATAATACTGATATAAAAACTCGTGGCGAAATGTTGCAGATCTTTATTTATATTTACAAATTCATTATTAAAAAATGTATGCATAAACCCCAAATTAGTATATGGGCCTATCACGTTAGTCTCCTTTCCTTGTAATACCCGGCTGGGAGTTAGGACACATGTGCAATGGGTGAAAACTTCATATAACATATACAGTTATATTGCAGTTAACCCCGAATGTCCAGCATTAACTCCTCCCAGAAGCCCCCGAAGGAACTCAGACACAGATATGAAAGGAGGTGTATTTACATGTAAAAATAAATAAAGACATGTACTTAGTTGTCACCGTTAGGTATCCGTACATGTTATACTATACCTGAGCAATTCGAAGTTTTGTATATTTATTTTATGATATTAACTATTGACTTACAAGCTTTAAATCACCGTGGAATTTTTAATTAATGATTCTTCTTCTAGACCTCAGATTATCACAAAATCTTTAAAAGAATTTTTTTTTAACGACTTTAAACTGATAAAGTTTTAGCAACATATTTTTTTAAAACAAAACTTCGAATTGCGTTTCTGTCATGATGATATTAAACATAAATAATAATTTATTTTTCAACATTTTATTTATTGACAATAATTACCTCATTATGCCGACTAGAAAGTCAAAATAACAGTTTTACATATACTAAGATATCAAAAAACTGATTTATTGAAGGAAAAATTTTGAAACTTTTATACTTACGGATTCTTTCATCTTCTTGATGATGAGACTATAATGGAAAAGTTTGTCCTCTTCTTCTTTGATATTGCACAAATCTTCGTACATTATAATAATTAAATGCAAACATTTTATAACTTGCTTTTGATAAATCGCAAATCACGGCAAAGAAGATCATTTCAAATGTTTATTTTACAAATTCCCCAAACAATTAATGATACGAACCCATGAAATAATTGGCGACCGTTTTGGTTATATACACACCGAATGTTGGTTTAAATCTACAGCGGCACTCATCAATGTACATGTAATTACCAGTACATCTACACCGTCGCTTGTAATCATCCAAGACGTGATTATCTAATTTTAAAGTTAATCCAAGTAATTTTTTTGTTCTGGTGCAAATTATAATTTTGAACTTATTTTATATGTATATTCTCGATATTTCTCTCTCTCAAAAAATATATATATATTCATATATCACTACAACATATAAATATTAAAAACATAATAGAATTAATATATCGTCAATATTTGATAAATGGCAACATGTAATAATCATATTTATTATATAAAGTATGTAAATATTTGTTTTTCAAACAAATAAGAAAAATAAAACAAGGTTCATTGGAAATAAATGTTGGATCTTTTATTTGGATTAACTGGTTAATTTCAATCGGGTTCAAGTTCTAACGGGAAATCGTAGCCTGGAAAATAAATTGAAATAAAGCAATAAATAATTGATACAGGTAAAAATGCTTCAGGATATATATTTATTGTGTTATACTACATAATAAAAACATGAAAAAAGTTGTATAAATGTATTAAATTCTATTTTTTTATTAGCGTACTCTATCGTACTCTATCGTACTCTGTTTAGTAGGACCGACTATGGACTATCAAAAATAAAACCTAAATCATAGAAAATTCTTACATTGCTGCTGTTGAATACTTTAAGCAAAATATGAATTTCCATTGTTTGAGTAACTGTGTGTGCGGTGAGGCATGGGTAAGTATGATTGCTTCTCATTGTGCTGAACTGTTACTAATCAATTATCCTGTTGGCCATAACTGGCCTCCTTTATAATTTCACCCAAGAAATAACCGTGTGGTCACTCATCAATAGCCCCAAAACTTTTAAAAATTTGAGTACAAAGTCTCTCAAGGAGACACAATTTGGTGAGTGATTTTTACATGCATTGTATTCAGAAGAGAACAAAGTGTAATATTTCCACTGCACCTAGGTGCGACTTTTTGCACATGTTGAAAAAATAACACATTTGAGAAAAAAATCTGAGAAAATAGCTTAATCAAGCTATTCTGAATAGCTGAATAAAGCTATATAGCTAAATCAAGCTATATAGCTTAATCAAGAGATTGTGCCGGACCTGATGAATACACGTACATCATTCATATCTGTATTATGCTATTTTATGAAACTTATCAGGATCAGTACAATCAATACATTTAGCTCACTGTACTTACAACAGTACAAAGCTCATCAGCTGTTTTTTTTTTACATATAGGCTAATTAATTGCAAGTATTCAATGATACTTTTTTAATAACCATAAAAAATAAAAAGAAACACAATGTTACTTATCCGGAAATGTTTGTGTAACATTACCCCATATAATACATGTATTTTTGGGTTTGTACGTACTATGTGCAATAATTCTATTGGTGCACCACAGAAGTCTTGCTGACAAGGGGGAGAAAATCTCTCAATTAAACTTTTACTTAAATGCAGATCTCATCTGTAGCACACTGGTCTTAAAAAGTTGGTATGGGTGACAGAGCTAGAGCACAAAAGCTTATGTTGCTTTTGGAAATTCTCTGAATTCTTTTCTCAGTTGTACAAAATCTTGATTTTTACTTTCTGTCAACTTCTCACATATGTAATATATGCACAAAGCAGTGTGCGAAATTAACGGTGGACCGGTAGACAATGTCTATAGAAAATCTAGTCGGTCTATACCGATCGAAATATTAATAGACCGACTTGTCTATAGGAATTCTGAG